ATATAAATAAAAATTGTTATCAAAATAACAACGTTAAATTTAATAATTGTTATTGAAATTATTTTGTCAATAAATAATATTCTAATGTGTATTTAAGGATCATGATCTGTACAAACGACACGGCTACGCAACTATTTCTTGTATCTAAATATTAATAATAATTTCATTAATTGTAAACACACATTGATTCCGTAAACTGATTGATCTATAAACTGCCATGCTAATTAATCGTTGCTAAGGAGCTAAATAGCCAATACGGGTAACCGGGATCTCTAAGGCAGTAGTGTCATGGCGATCTCAGATCGAAGGATCGTGGTTTCGAACCCCGCCTCGGGAATGGATATATTTGTAATCGTCGTTTCACCTCTCATCATTGTCCTATCGCGTCATTAAAGAAGTATTAATAATTTCCTGCTCAAGCAGGAGGCCCTTGCCTTTAATGGGATGTGCAGTTGAAAAAAAAAAGGTTAAATTGGATTCAACATAATATTAAATAAAATTACAAGTAAGATACTTACGTTGAATTTAAATATAAGAATACTTACGTTTAAACAGGATTAGGTGGCTCAGGGCTGATGTCACTGCAGCGCGCCTGAACAGGATGTTCTAGGATTTGAGTCCTGGCGGTCGCAGGATTCTCGACACTAGCTAAAGAGCCGAGTCTTATACAGCGCCTGCAGCACCAGGGGATTGCAAGAGCAGTTCCTTAACAAACGGGCCACGAACTGCGTGCTACATTTCCTTCCCCTTCCTCGTCCTGTCCTCACCCCCTTACCCACCCTTACACTTGCATGCACTACACTATCACACATGTGGGGAGCTTAAAGCGGGTCCCGGCTGGAGGAGAGTCCTGCTGGAATTTTTCATGTTAAACAATACTCGTTACTGTTTGTTACCATGGTATGCCTTCCAACTTTGTCTCTAACATCGGAAATTTTATTTCAGCGATTTTTTAAAAATGATATACTTTTCTTGTCCAACGTAGAAATGTCTTTCATAGGTTTGACGATATTTCAGCAATGTTAAATCCCCTTTTTGAAAAGGATTCAAAATGTGCTCTATCTAATTAGAGGCGTTTTTAAAGTCATTATGTGATTTCATTTTAAAAAAATCTACAAAATTGTGTTGAATATACACTACTTACGTTTTTTTGTAAAAATTAGTTCTTGTAGTAATGGTAAGAACTCAATGAAATTTCTTCATTCAAAAAGAACGAAGCTGAAATATTGTGCGCTAAATTTCAATTATCTAATACGAATATTGTCCCTATTCCCATACAACATTGAAGACTCAATGTACATTGAACATTGTGCATTGAATTTTTCGTCAACAACGTCGTACTTTTTCACACATTTTGCCCGCCCCCCCCCAATCAAATTAATTTTTCTGGGCGCTTCAAAATTTGCTCTTCCTAATCAGGTATATTTGAATACATTTCTAGCAGCTATTGTTCATAAATGTAGTTTGAGAAAGTTAACTTTGAATTACACATCTTTTTGTCACAGGCTGCTCATGTGTCACAGGCCTTATATGAAAGAATACTTCCCTGATCTTTTCGAAACAAACCTAGTTTTACGAAACAAAACTATTTCATTACATGTTAATTTTATTTTTGAATCTGCCTTGTGTCATTTTTGCTAAGGAGCGGGAGTTTGCTTGTTTGTCGTTTTCATTATTTGTGTTGTTTTATTAAATCGCTACGAATCTTTGGTGTATAGCAAAAATGTGTAATAAGTTGACAAGACTAAGGGCTGGTTTTCACGTAGCCAATGCTGGTCAGCTCCTAGACAGCGCCGTCGCTTTGTGGGATGGGCAATAGCGGTTTACACAGTGCTAGTAATCGCTTGCAAAAGAGATCTTTTTCTCGCTGCTCTTAGCTTACATGCGCTTTGTCACGTGCTTCTGATAGTATTCGGCGCACAAGCAACTGTATGCAAAGCAAATGTTCCATAGACGTTTTATCTTCGTCACCTAATCTGCCGTGGAGAAGTTATCCATCCCACTATATTTGCAATTGCTAGAAATGCGGCATTTCTGGCCTCGCGATTCTAACAGTCTGGTAAAAAACTATCCCACCAATTTTTCGATTCCTCATATAACCAATCAAACTTGGCAGGTCTTCATTCAAGAAGCCATTTTTATAAACAATTATAATAAGCTTACGTTGATTACCGTGCAAGCATAAAACAGCGTACACACGTGTTGGGGGCCGGGGGGTCGCCGGGGTGGGGGAGCGCGTGCGCATGCCTGTAAACCAAACCTTGTTCAGGTGGCACCGCCAGTCGCTTGCAACAAGGCAGATACACTTTGCCATTCTCTTCTGGCACGTTTACTTGCAATCAGCCTTAATTTTCTCTTGTGGGCGAACAGCTGTTAAAAGACACTGATGAACCTGATCTGAACGTAGGAAATTAATGCAATTGGTGTACTAAGAAAAAAAAAACAATTACGAAATCAAGGTCCATTCGATTCAGAATGTTCAATGACTCATTTGATAATTACAAATCTGAGCGATTCATGTCTAAGCTTTCTACGGGTTTCGTAACTTTGGCGGAGGAAATGAAAATTAATATTGCTAAATGTTGGGCAATGATTGTCAACTGATTAATTGGATTGTTGGTAAGGTAGATACCTTTTTATTATGATAAATAAATAAAAATATTGTGGTATCAATATTTTAATTCAGCTTATGATCATTTCGATCGCGTAGCGATCATCCTCAGAGCTTGCAGCTTCTGGGCCGAAAACAAAGTTCTGCAGAACTTATTTATCATTGTCAACCGACTTCTACAGAAGAGTTATGAGCTACAGTCCAGTAACATACCGCCACCCCCGTGCAATTTTCACATCCCTCACTTTTAAATCTCGCACTAGTTTCTTTTGACCCAGGGCTCGTTACACTAGGACGCTAGTGCCGTTGCCCGGTGCCTTGTCCTGCCTGGTGTAACGCGTCAAGCCTTTTCCTATCCCTTGCCCCGACCAACCCCGCCCTGTCCCTGTTCCCGGCACGATCGACGAAAAGTCATTACTACAATGATCACTACAGATGTGTGAACAGTTCCCGGCCATATTAATGTGACCACTACATTTTTTTCGTTTCTCCATTCTTAATTTCTTGATAACCAGTTAATAACTGATGACTTAGAAATAAACCTTTAGAGAAGATGACACTGAAAGGGATTCAAGTTTTATTAATGCTTTAATTCCTCTATTTTACTTTGGAGACAGCTTCTTTGGCCTCCTCATCGCAAAACAAACAAGTTTAGGTACAGTAAATATTAAGTTACACAAAACATTGTCGACACATTCACAAAAGTAATGCCACGATTGAAAAATATAAACACATACAAAGATTACCTTCAAAACCGAGGGGGAAATCAATATTAAATGTTGCGAGTGGTCACAATAATATGGCCCGCAATGTGGGGTGAGATATTTCAAAAGACTAACAAAAATGGTGTGTCAAAAATTGAATATCTGACATCCTTGCTATAATATTGCATGTTCTTTTACATCGCCAAAATTTCAATGAATAATGTGTACTCTAAAGCATTATATGTTAAATTCCTTCTATTGAGGTACAAAAATTACTAGGTTTGTGCGAAGAACTTTAGTGTCCTTAGTATCTCGCGTCCTCAGTACATTTCAAGTGAAACAGTTTTCAATATTTTTCATGCAATCAAGAGTGGGAATAAAACAAAAATTGTGCTCTCGTATTGAAAGTAAGCCAGGGGAAATGGTGTGAGGAAAAAACAACAAGTACTCTGTTATACAAATATATTGAGATGTTCACATTTCCTTCTATAATACATATGTCAATAATAACACAAGAAATCTTCTCCCGATCGGGATAATCTCGGCCTCAGCCGTAGCCATGAAGAAATGACGGTGGTGCAGCAAGACCAGCAACTGTTGAACATCACGAGGGACACGGAGGACATCATTGCCCGAGGGAAGCTTCGGGCAAAAACACGTACGCGAGTACGAGATATAGAAATGAAACATCGCAAGCACTACCATTATTGAAATCGAACTGTATTGGAGAATCTGGACAGTGAGAACAGAATTTAACACTGAAGGGAGAACCACAACCAGCCTAAAACATACACAAGAGCAAGCTTCGACTCGTGGGATTCACTTATTGTATAAAGAGTTAGCCCTAACAGTTAGTATGATAAAATAAGCCAAGTCTCGATTTTCGTCTTGCTTTGTACATCTAAGAAAAGCCAAGAACATCGCTCGCTCTTCTCGTCGTTCGCAGGCACGGTTTCTATTCGCAGAATCCGTTACACACGCGCGCACTTTTAACCAATGTTCGCCAAACGGCTCGCTCGACGCACGTTTTCCGTGGTTGGACCTACCATTTCGCAGATTCCATCCACCAATAAACCAATATATCATCGTGACTATTAGAGAGCATGCCATTTTCTCTGATGGTTTCAAAATGACTGCGCTGTAAGCCAGCACCATTTGGCTATCATGCAGCATCGTCGCGTATTCTCTACGCCGACGAACACTATTAGTCTTCGTTCCCGATCTGTTGACATCGTTTTTATCACTAGCAATCTGAATATGCTTTCCTTTGAGCCGGGAAGAAGTGCATTACAATTGCACTGCGAAGGCTGCCGCTGGGGCCGGAGACGTTGCCGGAAAAACTTCCTTCGTTGCACTATCTTCGTTTCACACATAAAATATCATTTGTTTTAAAACCTAGTCTTAAGAGATGAGTGGTAGCTAATCATTCTGTCAAGTCTCTACAACACTTCGGATTGCCTTTAACACTTTAAAACGCTTCCTGTACTTCCTCCGTGAAACACACACCCAGAGATAAAGAAGAGAATTAATCGATAAACACTCCTAATGGCACAGAGAAATGTGCGAACATCTACAGCCGTCTTCCGACTTCAGCGCAGGCGCAGGTGGCGGGCCCGGGCGCGGGCTCAGGCCGAGGCGTCGGGGCGCTGGGGCGCCGCCGCCCCGCCCCCCGCCGACAGCCAGCGTTACACCATCTGGTACTTGTCCGGCACGAACTGGTAGTCGAGGCTGCAGTCGCCGTGGCGAGCGTTGTTGAAGCCCTGGTGGTGGGAGCCGACGCCCATGCCGGAGTAGGGGCTCATCTGGTGGTTGAAGCCGTGCGCCACCATGTGGTTGTGCTGGGAGTAGTGCTGCGCCAGCGACGAGGCGGCGGCGCCGCCGCCGCCCCCGCCGCCGCCGCCGCCCATCTGGTGGTGCGACACGGCGGAGGGCGGCGGCGGGAAAGTGTCGACAACCCATGTTGCCGTAGTGGGCTGTAGCTCTGCGAGTAGCAGTGCGGCGACGCCGGGGTGGAGGAGGCGGCGGCCCCAGCACAGGCCGTTGTAGGAGGAGGGCGGCGGGCAGCGCGGCCGCGGCGGACGACGAGAGGGCCCGCCCGCGCCCGTGCCCCCGGCCGCCCGCGGCGTCGTGCGCGCACGTAGCCCACGGTGGAAAGCCGGGCGTGATGGGCGGGCTGGGGGTCGTGATTGACGGACGAGGCCCGCTGCCCGAGCCGCCCGCGCCGGGGCCGAGGGCGGGCCGGAGGGCGTGGGGGGCCCGCGCAGGCGGGGGCGGTGCCGGGCGTGCGCCCCCGCCCGCGAAGGGCGCCCAGCGCGCCACGGGCGACGCCTCCCTTCTTCGCACCAGGACGTGGGCGGGACACGCTGCTGCCCGGCGCCGGGCCCGCCGCGCCAGCCCCGTCGGCGGCGGCGGGGGTGGGCTTCTTGGACACTAGATCTTGGCGGCGGCGGCCGCCCGCCCGCCGCCCGGCGCGCCGCGCGGCCCGCGCCACCCGCGCCGCCACCGCGCGACGACTTTGCGCCCGCGCCGCCCACGCCCAGCGCCGCCTGGCTCTGCTGCTGTTGCTGTTGCTGCTGCTGCATCTGTTGGCGGCACTTGGCGCGTCGGTTCTTGAACCACACCTGCGACACGAGAACAGTTGCCTCAACTCCACATCCAAAGAACTCCATGCTTTTCTTACTCCCATTGAATAATTCCATCGTTCGATGGCTACAACCCATTACAGTAATGATATTCATCGCAACACAGCTTGCATTTTGGTACAGGTTCTTGGCCAACGACGGACAAGTTTACAAACCAAGTACTGAACCTTTATTAATCGTTGAGAACCGTTCTAGTAAATGGATCGTTCCAATGTGTACATTAAAATTTTTTTTAGTATTATATTATACTTATTTGTTTTATTTTCTTTTATCATCAACATTGTTATTTTTATAGGGAATATTATTTATTAGGGAATATATTGGATCGACATTTCACTTTGATCCTATTTGACTAGCGCATTGGTAAACAAAAGACTTCTGCAGGGAGGGTAGGGTGCTTCTGCAGGGAAATCCTGGCAGTATCCTGCACGTCAATTGCCACGAAACGATTGAATATGCGCGTATAACTTACAGAAGTTACCATAAGTCATAGAAAATGTGCAGTATGGAACTTATTATAATAGGTATTAATACTATCTTGAGAAGTTTACGGTAATCGCTGGTATCGTAATATCACACTTTTATTAATACTGTACTATTTCAAAGGCTCTACTCTTTTTCAAAATAGTTGATGAACTAAGTGAGCAATAATTTCGATTACTTGGCACTGATATAAATCGAGGTTCAGAGCGAATTCACTTCATGGAAAACAAGACTTCTAAACACGAAATGAGCCCCTGTAGTTTGGTTTGAAGCAGATAGTAACTTTTTTACCCTCTCTCTAATGGTATAATGAAAAATTTCTTACATTTTAGATTTTCTCCTTAAAAAGCGCGAATGACGTGTGCCATGGATTTTATGAAGTGTCTGCACAGAACTGGAGAGAATATTTTCACGGAACTTGTAGTCACGGAATTTGAGAGTACTAAAGAATGCTTATACACATAGTCTGCGCCTTTTGTTATGTTTAGCTGTTGTAGAGACAGATGACATCACTTCAGGTAAACGTTTTTATGCTGAATTTATTTTCCATTATACCATTTATCAAGAGAAGAGTGAGAAAAACGTTCACCAAAATCATGCAATACATAATCTGATAGTATAACATTTTCCTTCCAATTTTGGTCTTTCTTAGTACCCTTTAAATTCTCTTTTCACTTCCACGTGTAATTAAATGCTTGCTTAGAGCAGTTTGTTGCTCTCCTTTTCTCAGAAAATGCTTCTCGATTCCTCTAAAACTAAAAATCTCAAATTCTTGAAAACGAGACTAATCCGATCTTAGTAATTCTTCGTAACTTAAAGACTCTTCTTCTCAGAAGACGAAGCAAAGGCGGGCACTCTGGGAGAAGAAACTCCAGAAATGCAGACAGAACAGAGGAAAAGGGAGGAAAATATTACAACACTGAGAAAACCAGAAAGATCTTGACACTCGTTTTAAATAGTGAATCCAAAGATCTTGTAAAACTGACCGAAAATTCACACTTCTTCCTTTACTCTAGAATCGACTGATACATTTTCGTTGTTTGATATGACACCCTTATTTCAGATATTTTATCCTCCTCACCCGTAACCCCCCCCCCCTCAATGTGTCAATATGCCGCAATTTATTTTTATTTTATGTTTTAAAAAGGAAGTGCTTGTGTTTCCAGATTTCTTAAGCATTAATAGATGTTCAATTAATGCAACATATCCTAACTAGATACTCCACTATTGTGTGTTTAAAACACGTCATGTCCGAAAGAAATTACATGGCAAAATAAATATTAATTTTTCAGTGAAGTGAAGGAATGTATGTCACGCAATGTTCTACTTTTACTATATGTACGCAAGAACATTTTCACACATACTCGCAGATACACAATAATATATAGTAATGACGTAGTACAGACAAGTATATTTTAAAATAATACAAAAGATAACTGGTATATGGGTAGTAAAATGAGACTATTCTCAGGATAGAATGTTTTTTTTCTGTATGAACTAAGTTGCGAGGTGTATCTTAAGGAATTTCCAATTACGCTGGCTCAGAACAATGAGGCTCTCCCTCGCAATTATGGCCAACGTGTTTGAACGTCTTCAAATTTTAATTTGTGTCTGATCTCCAATATATCACATCAATTTTCACGTAAGAAAAAGAAACAATATTGATTTACATTTCGATATGTATTAATCCTTCAAAAAGTTCTTCTCTAAAATTGGATTGAAGTCAAATAGTAACGTC